AGATTGTGAATTACCACCAGTGAATGTACAGGAAGCCCAACTAAGGGAACAAGATGCTGGCTACAGAAGACGACAAATGATCATGGTTCAGCTGGCAGAAGATATGGAATGAATTTGAATAAAACTCAGCAGTATAAAAAAATAACATGGCAAACATTAAACATCAGAATAAACTTAACTTAAACAACAATATTTTTTTTGTTAATTTCTTTCGAGGCGGAACTGTCAATTGAAATTGAAATGCAGTGTTACAGTTTCACAGGTAAGCATATAGGAACTTTCCTAATCATCATCATCTGAATCTTTAAATACATACTGACTGGCCTGCCTTCCTTCCACTGAAGACATGCAACCAAATGAAAAAGTGATTTCGGGCTCAACATTGACCCAGTGTCCCATGAGCAGGCTCAACTCCTCTTCATGTGGGAATGAGCCTGTATTGTTCCCAGTAGCTTTTCGGGATTCCCTAAAGTTTTTAAACTTGTCCATCAGCTTTGACATTTTAAGCTCACATTGGTCAGCAGAGTGTTTATGTCCTTCAGCAGTAAGCTTTCCAGAAATTAATGCCCAAAGACTGGCATTTCTATAGGTATTACTGTCGAATTTGGGATCCAACTCCACCCTGAGAGCAATGAGTTGGCTGGTGGCTTCGTCAGTCCAGGTCGTTACACTATGTTAGAAAGGAAACATAGATTAGTACACCTGTTAGTGAAGAAGCTATTTCCTTTCTGACCAGGTAAATGAACTCACTTGTCATTACCATGGGGTTATCAAAATAAGCGTCGGCCGACCGGCCGACCGGCCGTCCGTCCGTCCGTCCGGCCGGCCGATTTTCATGCAACGACAGCTAGAGCTTCGAAACTCACCGAAAGTGTTGCTGCTGTTTTGTATTACCGAACCAAAAGCTACTGATGATAACAATGACTACTACGAGAGGTGATGAGTTTACTTTTAAAAGAGAAGTTCGAATGGTACCGCCAGAGAGCGCTATGGCAAGTGTTAGTTGGAGTCGATGTGGCCGTGCACGGCTTGTTTCCCCCGTTCATACTTGAATGTCACTGCTGCCGTGACGGGACTACAGGACTACGCGTGTGAAGAAACGTTAGTTAGTTTCTGTCGCTGTGGTCATTTGACGATCTGCGAAGAACAGTTTTTGATGAGTTGTTTTAAGATTTTCCATTGCCGTTGAACAGTAATCTGTCCTTCCAGCGCGGTGGTTACTCTTACTCCGCATCATGATGTGGGATGCTGCAGGTGAGTTGTATTTCCTAGTCTGTAATATACTAATCAAATAGAACCCAATTTGACATAAAAACGTCAAAATGTAGCCGAAGTAAAAGCCACACTTTTTGTCAAATGTACGTCTCTTTGATTATTCATTGCACACTGAGTTAGTTTAACTTACAATTGCTGTTTCTTTCCTCCCTTTTTACTTATTAAATAGTTGTTCGGGTCTTATCTCAGCAACAGGTTCTCACCCTAAAGATGAATCAGAGCCACTGTTGAAAAAGGGATGCTTCATAGCCACCCCTGACCCTGAGGCTTTTAATGGACCACAGTCTTGTGTTGTTTCCTCTACCCCTCTACCCAAAAGTGCTAAAAAGCTATTTAACTATGTTGAGCCTGTTTTGGTGTACAGCGGGTTCTCAGAAAAATTTCTTCCTGTAAGTAATTTCAAATCTTATCAAATGTATTTTTAAAACCTTGGAGCCTTTTTACCCTATGTGTCTCTTGTAGAGTTTATTCATTAACCATATTGAAAAGCTGAGGAGAAGTCGTAAGATTATGGAAAATATCAAGAAGACTGTTACTAGTCACGTTTATGACAAACGGACTAGGTCAATAACTGTTGAAGTAATCTAGAATTCTTTTAATCTATGCAGGGTTTACATTGATGGTTTTTCAATTTATTATCAATTTTCAATGGATTCTTTTCAGTTTAATTCCACCATTGTCTGTGACAAAATGTCAGAAACTGCTGTGAATTTTGGAGGCACTAACATAACTGTGATGAGGCCAAGTGGCTCCAAGAAGGAATCCCTCATGATGGAAGAAATTGGAGTGGCAGGCTTGGATAAGCTGAATGACAATGTAGATAGCACAGCAGCCCAGCCTGTAGACATGGATGCTTCAGTAATTTTCAGTGCTGCACCTGTTCGAAGGCCCAGGAAGAGGCCACTTTCGACGCCTGCCACCAACTTGATACCTGTGGTATGTAAAAATTTGAATTGCTCACAAAGACATGATTGGGTACTTTATTAAGTGAGAACCAAATAATGTTGAATTTTGCATATCTGTAATCTCCTCTCAAGGAATTTGTGAAATCAACATCACTACTTAACAAAGAAAATTATGCTGCTAGAAACAATCAAGTTGTCTCTGATTTTAATGAAAAAAGTGTTGGTGCTGCTTTCAAATACACCCCATCAGAAGGATCACTGACTTCCAAAGCTAAAGTAACGGGCATACCATTAGCTCATTACCTACCAGTGAGTACGCAACAAATCTT